CTCCACTTAATAGTTTATATATATAAGCCTCACGGTAATTTCTTTTCATGCTTTTGGTTATTAATAATTCATGTCTTTCTGTTAATTTTCTGTATTTGACATTTCACCAAAGTGTGTTTGTACCACAAATGCATGTGATGAATTATTCTACTCTTGGGCACTGATCAATCACAACACCTAATACTTTACATTTAAAACACGATCCTTTTAGTTTGTAAAGTGGTTTAACATCACATCATAAGTAGAACCACAAGAAAAAACTTTGGGAACATTTGAGGAATGAGGGAGAGGGGGATGAGCTATTGCAAAGCTAGAAAACAATTGCAATGCAAATAAGTTTATGAATGGTGGACAAAGGCAATATTTAACAAATATAAGGATGCTATCTACACTGGCGTTCTCCTGCTCTGAGCAACTAGATCTTTGGGAGGCATGTGAAAATGACTTTATAAGTTTTTGTTATACAGTATGAATGTGCATGTTGGGTAAAGGAAAGAGCAACAGAAAGTGTTTTAGAAGACCTTAAGTAGTGCGACTGCACTATCACCATATTCCACTATCTTTATGATGATGCACACATCACAAAATAATCTTGTAGATTTACTATAAGGAATAATGTACTTTATGGTTTACAAAGCATTTCTACTTACTTATTTCAGAGGATCCTCAACACACCCCTTCAAGATATGTTAGATGCTACCACCATTTTTATAATTCTGGATACTGGGGCTTACTCTGGATTTGTCCCAAGAATAAATGGAGAAGGTATAATTTGAATTCAGGTTTACCACATTAAGTCCCTTGCCATTTCCACCGATCCACACAAGAGCTTAGCCAGTTTAAGACTGTGTAACATATCTGTGCAATGAGAGAGTGGTCTAGGGGTCTGAAAAGAACCATTGCAACTATAAAATTATATTTTCTGTAAAAATGGAAAATTATATACTTTCAAAATTGTATTTTGTAAATGTATTTTCAAATATCCATCTAAGGACTATATCGTAGATCTAAAGAAGGACTTCCACAGTGAGCCAGGCTTTAGAGAATACATTCTAGTAGTACTGATCGACAGATTACTTTCACATACTTGGCATGTAACATTGATTCAGAGTAGATATGTTTATAATAAGGAGATTGATACTCTCACTATTATTGTAAATAATATTACTTTAAAGCTATAAACCTAATAGTGCAAAATACAATTAAGAGAGATAATAGCTACATGTAGGTTTCTCTGAATCAAAAACTTTCATCTTGGCAATAGCAATGTTGTTGGAGACATTGCACATTGTGCAAAATCTAAATCTTGGGAAATTGTTCTCCTGATTGTTTTAATGCCATGTTTCTGGATGAGAAACAAGGAACTGAGCATTTTTTGAGCACCTAGTATATGCCAGGCCCTTTACTATATTTTATCTCATTTCTTTCTCAAGCTTCTGTGAGACAGGTATCATTGTCTTATTTTTAGAGATTCAGGAAAAAGACTCAGGGAGGTTAATTAACTTGCTCAAGGTCACACAGTTATTGATGAAAAAACTGGTATTGGAACCCAAGTTGGTCTGATGCAGAATCTATGCTTGCTCTTCTACATTGGTAAATTCTCAAATTGTTAGTGTGTGTAAGGATCACATGAGGGAGGGCGTGTTAAAAGATGATTGCTGGGTCCCACCCCTAAACTTTCTGATTTAGTAGATCTGGGGTGAGACCAAGACTGCATTTCTGCCAGGTCCCCAGGTGATGCTAGTAGTGTTGGTTGGAGGATGACTCTTTGATGACCACTGTCCTGTATCATCCTGTCTTCAAGTGCCTCTTCGAACTCACATGATAGAAACATATTTGTTTTACTGTAAAAATATAACTTGATTTTTTGATAATTTATAAAATTTTTGATTTTTATAGATAAATAATTTACATATATTTATCTATTTTTGGTTTTTGCCATAGATAAGCAATTTAAACACTCTGTTATTTCAATGTTGCTATTCATTTCTAATAACTGATCTACAGAATTTTTTTTAAATCATGAAAGTCATTTAGAGGAATGATACTGTTATTTAATAATAATAATGTTAGATATACCAATGGGTGATACATTTTATCCTTAGACAATATATGATGGGGTTTTAAAATGACATTTGGATAAGAACATTTTTTTCTAGTCATTTTGGAACCATTGCTAAAGTTCAACCTCCAAAAGGACCTTGTAAGCAATTCTTACACAAACATATTAAACCTGACCCCAAATGCCCTGACCTACTTCCCATACTTCCTGACTAGAAGAGTAGAATAGTTGTGCTCTGATGACCAATACATTATAACGGACTTAAGAAACTATTCTGTCCCAAATCTGCCCCTGCCTTCCTGTGTTTGTTGACTGAGTGATTATTAATTTAAAAACCCCATGAGAACATCGCTTCATCATTTCTTATTCTTGGGTTGTCTCAACTAATTAAAGAATGTGACTCCCCTATTGGGGAGAATGATAAGTCTAAGTTTCAGCTCTTTGCCCAGCAATTAATAACAGCAGGAGATCATCTGACCCAAACAAACTTTAGATTTTAAATGACATTTTATTTAGGCCAGGGGACCAGGTAATATTATTTTTAGGAGGAGAGCAGAAGGTGTTATGTTAGTGCTTCTAATTACCTAGAAGGAAACCATTTGCTACAGTGCAATTATGATTGGCTGCAGCAGTTCAACCTGGCCCTCAGCATGATCCCTAGATGGAGAGGTCACACTGTTTTTGCAATAGCCAACAGGGGGGATGATGGTACATTTAGGCATTAGATCTTTGGCTGGGGAAAGGGATGAATTTTGTACATCAAGATCATTGCTTTGGTCATCTGTAAGTCACTTTAGCCATTGAGTCTTCTGACATTTATGCCCAATTAATCACGTCTTTATATTGTCAGTCTCTTTTTAAGCTAATATCCTATAGAAAGGGACCTTCCTAATCCTGTCCAACTCTCTGAGGGTTAAGATTTTAATATAAGCAATTATGTCAAGGAATTAAGAAAACGGTTTCTGTTGTGCTAGAATTTAAATAAACTGGATGCTTGCACACCATTCCCCATCTTCCTATTTCTTCATGCTCAGTTTTCATAAATATAAACAAGTTTTATGTGGGAGGTTGGATTTTATGCATGTCATACCAAATGTTGCAGCTGAGGCATTCACTATCAATCAGATTTCAATTCCTCACCTGCCAAATCCTCTCTCCCTACAAATGAACATTCTCTGGTGAATTCATTCTGACTGTTCCTGAACTTAGGCCGGCAATCCTTATGAAATTTGTTGCAGCTGCAAAAATGTGTCCCAATATGGAAATAAAATCCCAAAATAGTCCTGTGAATCAGAGTTAGCCATTTATGGGACTTTCTCTTCCCTGCTAGGTGCCCATTGAATGTTTGTTGAGTGAGGAAGTGAAAGCATCAGTTAGCCCCTAAGTTTGTATCTGCATAACAACAAATGACTTGGGAAGCTGGTTATAATTATTACACTTTTGTATAATAGTTTATGTTCGAATTGACTGGTCATTTTGAATAATGCACTTGAACATTTGTGTTTTGGTTTTTCAAAAATTAAGCAGGAATAAGAACATGCTTTTGCTTATAGATTGCCTTCCACATGGATTACCAATTTATGTGTCCATTTAGTATTATATAGGGGGCAATCTAAGGTCACTTTAATCACATTTTTTAAATAGTGCAATAGTTTTAGTAAATTTAAATAGCTTGCATTTGAAGCTGATTAACAGATCAGTGTCAAAGTTTGAATATCCCGAAGGGATAGAAATTAACCCATTTAGTAACGTGCACTGATAAAATGTTCTTAATGGACTAAGAAACTTTCAATAAATTTCAATATTTTTGTTCAGCAAGAAAAGATATAATGGATCAGAGTTCATAATTGTAAAGTTGTAATTGAATTGAAAAATAACATTTCTTAACTATAACTTGACTGATCAGAATCTTAAATTGTAACTTTTTTCTTTACACCAATTTTATGAGCTACATATGCCCCCCACAAAAAATCTAACAGTTGAAGATATTTTAATTGAAAGATATATTTCATTGTATGTCCTGACATTCTGAGGTCAATATATATTCATTCCAATCCATGCATAACAGATTTTTATTTAATTTTCAATGGGCAAAGTGTTGGAATAACTAAACACAACTGAAATTTTACTGCTGGTATGTGCATTTTTTTTCTAGGCCCATTGCTTTCCCACAACTGGAATTAGACATAGAATAACATATACTTAATGGAAACTAGTTTTGCCATGCAAATGCACTGAAATTGCACATTCTTTGAAAACTGTGTTTACTATATTTTATTTGTTTTTTGAGATAGGATCTTACTGTATTGTCAGGCAGGAGTGCCGTGGTGTGATTAAGGCCCACTGCACACTTGACCTCCCAAGCTCAACCCATCCTCCCACCTCAGCCTCTCAAGTAGCTGGGATTACAGGTGTGAATTACCACACTCTGCTAATTTTTAAACATTTTTTTGTGGAGATGGGGTTTTGCCATGTTTCTCAGGCTGTATGTGTACTATTTCGGTCAAATTCAGGATTGCTTTAAAATGTGAATCACAAGAAGCTGTGGATATCAGTTTATGTTGATCACAGTTTAGCAGTTCTTAAGGGGACCACACCCTCCCCCCCACAAAAAAAAAAAAAAAAAAAAAAAAAGCAAAATGAGAGAAATTTGTTTTTAAGCCTTCTAGGAAATGTGCCAGTGGAAAATACTTTAGATGGTTTGTAAATGCAATTAGTGATATAATTTAAATAGAAAGACCTTTGTTCTCATTAATGTTGCCCTACATTTAGTTTTTGGAGATGGCTTCCTATACTGTCAGAGGTTTATAACTCAAATTTTGTATTTTTTCTTCCAGTGTGGAGGAATGAATGTAATTAACTTTAAACATCTTGGTACAGAAGGACCTGAATCTGTTTGTAAAAGTGACTAAGTTTCCTTTATCCCCCTGGAATTCCCATGAGTTGAGGATCATCTGAATCTGAGTTGCATCCATGAACAGTTTTATCCCTTGGTTTCTTATTTGCATGGAAGGCATTTTCATAACAAAGTACTGGTTTAGTAAAAGCAGTTAATAGGAGTCTCCATGCAAGAGAAATTGGAGTTTCCTAACATGCATGTGATTTAAAAAATAAAAATAAAAAATAAGGTGCCGTGAGATGCTGGCAGTTTTAACATTTGGAACCAAAAGTTCTTACGTATATTTACATCCTAACTGCTCAATTTTACCTTACAAGCTTCAATTTAGGAAAATATACAGTACTTTTGCATATAATGGTACGTTGTTAGCCCCTGAGTCAAGTAGAGAGGATTTAAATAGAAAAAGGAAAACAGCCATTAAAAGCACTTACATTGTATGTGGAGTAAATAGTACAAAATGATTATTTCCCTGGAAGACCAGGATCAGAAACATGCCTATGAAGACCCAAGATTCCTACAGTGCTTAGGGATGAATCTGGCAAAGAAGGATGCCTAATTGGATGAAGGTAAGTTTTTCTTTGCCGCAGGTGAAGCTCTAAAGACAGATCACTGTCTTGTTTTAAAAGTGAAGTCAAGTTGTCTTCTGAAGCTGTGTTCAGATGCACCCCACTTGAAAGGGATTCTTTGGATTTAAGTTTAGATTTTTCAAGGTCTAGAAATTCAGGACACTGATGGAAAAAGAACAAAACAAGTTTTTATAATTCACATTGAGAGTCATTGAAAATTACACTAATAAAAACTGAAGCGTTTTTTTCTCATTAATCTGTATTTGATTAGTGATATTAGCCAACATTTCCCTCCCAAAAGGAGTCAAGACATTGGAGATTGGTTATCAGTATAGATAATCCTAACCAACCATTCCAAGAACTTTTATTTAACCCTGGAACCAGATTTTAAAAATCAAATTAAAAATATATTACTTTACATTGAGTTTTCCAGATGAATTAAATTCAAAATTTAAGACAAAATTGAGATGAAGAAAGGCATCACTTGATGAATAAGAGGGTATAAGGAGGAAAGAAAAGATGGGAAATAAAATCAGTCATCCCTAGTCAGGTAATATTACCTAAACCTACTGAAAACAAATAACAAAATAGATGGTTTTACATGTTTCCCGGTCATTCAAAACTAGTTAAATTGATTTCTACTTTCAGATTTTTAGAAGTATTGCATTATTTTCCTTCTGGCATATTACCTTCTTTTATTAGTGTAGTTTCATTTTCCAGAACATCTTAAATTAAATTCCCAAACATCTAAAAAAGTTTTACGAGATTGTTCTACAAATCTTTATTTAAATCATTGTTCTTAGGTCCAATTTCACCATAATGTTTAACTAATTAAGACTAATTCCCAAGACAGAATTACAAGGAAAGCTAGACTACTCGTATTAACATAATTCAAAGACCCCCTTTGAGGGCTTCAGAAGTAGGATAAAGAACTTTAAATTGCTTTTCTTACCATGTTTATCATCCAAGTGAAAACAATTTAGAGATCTCTGGTGATGGGTGGGGTACAGAAGACATTACTAGTCTGATGGCATTTGAACCTCAGGTCTAATCTGGCCAGCCTACTATTTCTCCTCCCCTTCCTTCCTGAGACCTCGCCCAGCCTTTGGCACTGTAGAAAATTACAGATTTTTCTTTGAAGCTCTTTTTGGACCCAGATTTTTCTCTAAGCCCTTTTTGGAGCCAGGAAGACTATTCCTTAGACTGCAAAGCTCTACCACATATAAATTTAAGCAGGTTGATTCTGGAAGAAAGGTTTTCCTTTAAAAAAAATGCTAATGTTTAAAATCATTATTCTAGCTTCATTGTTCTCAAACTTTAAATGAACATAAAAATCAGCGTGGGCTTGTTTAAAATGCAGATTACAGGGCCCATTTCCAGAAATGCTAATTGCGTAGAAACAGCGCTAGGGACAGAAATCTCTCTTTTCCACAGCACCCCAAGTGATTCTGATTTAGGTGACCCCTGGAAACACACGTTGAGAGACACACTTGGTTGGATGGTATCCACACTCACTTGTGAGGAAGGGCTGAAACTTCGGTCAGTTTTGATGGATGCTGCCGGTTGACTGGTTCTCATCAGCCGGATGATGGGTCTCTGATATTCTGCTCCTGCTGTTACCATACTGTAGGCTGGGGGGACCACAGTGGTTTGTTTCTGCAGCAACTGTAGGATGGTCTGGATGTCAGTGGTCATTTGGGATTCAAGCCTGCAGAACAGATAGAAGTAGGAAAAGACAGTCCTAAAATAGTCCAGAATTTCAAGAGCATTTAAAAAAATTTCAGCACTACCAACAAACAGAATTATGGCCTTGCTTTAAACAAGAAGGACAGGAGAGGGAGCACAGAATCTCTATTCTTTCCTGATGGATACTTACTTGTGTATGTCTCTCTAATGATTCTGATAAAGACTTAACTTTCTTGTTCATATTAAGAGTTAACAGAAAATCAGATGAACAAAATAGACTACATGTTTACTAACCTTCATTGATTTCAAAATGTAAAACACACTGATAATTTATTTTTAATCAGTAATTGTCTTTGCTTTTTAATTAGGTTTTACTCAGTTTCTTGTGAACATTTTATTTGCTCTTAAAAAATAGATTCGTAGCACATTTCTTTCATAACTGTAGCATCCCAGGATAATTTCTCATGTGTTTTTACATTTATATTAATGCTTTTTAACCTTACCTCTTTCCTATTCATTTTAAGTATTGTATATTATTCATTGTATTCTTTCTTTAATGTTTAATGCTGCTTAATGTTAAATTCTTTTTCTCTCTAAATATGTCATGGCCTTTCATATGTAAGAAGTTGACCAAATTTGACTTCACTTACTTCTAATTGACCCATCTGGCCTGCAAAATACCAGTCTATTTTTTCCCCAAAGCTCACAAGTAGCCAACTGGCCTGTTAATTTCATTCTCATTTTAAATTAAAATTTAAGGGAAAATAGCAAAATATAATTGGTCAGATTCTCTTCCTTTGCATGTGTTAGCAACAGCATTAAATACAAAGGAAATTTTGTGGACACAAGAACAGAAAATCTGGACCATACGCCTCTTTAGAAAATTCTTGTAACTCCACTTATTTATGCTGTTTTGACTCTGAATAAAGAATGGAAATAAAACAAAAAAATGTAAAATCATAGGATTAATTTTGCCCAATTAAATTCATGCTGTATTTGTAGAATTCAAAGTAGAAATTGGCTTTTGAATTGATAGAGAACCTGGAAAACATGAGACTATATATATATATATATGTATTTTTAGTTTTTGATATTAACACTCCAAATCTTCCTTCTAAGAATCACAATAATGCATTATTTTTACAGTTTTTCTATAGTTAGTAAATATAGCCATATAGCTTTCTGTCTTCTAAACCAATAGCTATGAATTATACATGACTTTGCAAATGTCATTTTTTCAAACGTCAAAACCACACACTGAAAAGGGGAAAAATTGAGTTACCAACTGGTTTATTTATCTACTTTTGATACCTGATGGTCTGATCTAGTTTGTATGCTTCCAACTAAACTAAGCAGACCCATTATTTCACTGTTATGTGTTATATACATTTCCTTAAGGAATATGTGTTATAGACATTCTTTCATTTCACTTATCTGTACCCAAAAATCTTTCCTTATTTACCCCATTCAGAATTACTTTCTTCTCTGAGTCTCCAAAGCAAATTATACATTCAGATTCATCATAAATATTTCTGTACAAATGTATTCCATTACTAACAGCTTTCAGTTGTGATTGGCTTACACAACGTTTGTTACATTGAATGTAAAAGGATTTGGGGGAAAGACTGGAAGAAGAACTGCATCAATAAGGGAGATTCAAGATCCAAAAGTGAGTCAAAAATTATGATGATGTTTTTGTCATATAAATCCTTTGCCAAACAGCAGCTGTCTCTGAGAAATAAAATCTCTTTATCATGGATTCTACCTACTTGAATAGTGTCTATGAGGAAAAAATCTGTTGGAAGGCGAGGCTTCAGCATCCATACGTCCAGTAATTGCAGCCCACTGCCATGAGTGGGACTCAGGCACATGACAGCTCATGTGCAGGTAAAGTGGCTGGTGCAGGGTGAGGACAGAGACTGTGTCAGTATAACTTAGAAAAGAGCATAGCCCACCTCTGTCAACATGACATTGTTGTTTGTTCCAGGAAAACTTTGAGAAAAATAAGACTACACTAATAAATAACTTTGCTACTTCAGGAAATTTCTATAAATCACCTTTAATTAGAGACAGTATCGGTTCATCTCAACAAATACTTTTTTAATCAGACAAACTTTATCAAGACTTGCTTCAAGATCCTCACCTTACTGTGTCCATCAATCCTGAAGTATATCATAGACTTTACCCAATTCCAGTGAGCTCCCCACTTTGAAATACCCAGACTCCAAACTTCTATAAATGTTCTTCTTCTCAGTGGAATATTTCTGAGACATCACTGAGACTCTGGCCAGATGGCAGTCTTCCTTTCTGCAGTAATTCTGAATATTTAATTTTGTTTTATTAACTAGTTGTTAGATATCTTGGGTAGTCCAACAAAGGGCAGCAGTTTGCTGATAGGTTTTTTAATATGCATAGGGTTGTATTTCAGTGTTTTATGACAAGGGTCTGTTAACTTAATAAGAATGGACTCTTGGGCCAGGCACGATGGCTCATGCCTGTAATCCCAGCACTTTGAGATGCCAAGATGGGTGGATCACTTGACCTCAGGAGTTTGAGACCACCCTGGGAAGCATGGCAAAACCCTATCTCTACAAAACACTACAAAAATTAGCCAGGTGTGGTGGTGTGCACCTGTGGTCCCAGCTACTCAGGAGGCTGAGGTGGGAGGAAGGCTTGAGCCTGGGAGATCGCACCACTGCACTCTAGCCTGGGTGACAGAGGACAGAGCCAGACCCTATCTTAAAAAAAAAAAAAAAAAAAAAAGCGGACTCTTATACGAGACTAAATAGCCTGCTTTACTCAGGAGGAATTACAAAGAATTTAAAATAAATCCAGCTTGGTATTTAAAACAGAAAATAACATAGTTTTAGAACTTTTTCTTCTGTCAGCATAGTTACAAAACTGTGTAAAGTGAATATTTTTATTCATTCACTCAGAGACCCACAATGTACCAGGTACAATGTTAGGTAGCAAGGTGAGGGAACAACATGATAATGAATAAATATGAAATCTGGTTTAACAGTGCTAACAGAAACTAAGTACTTAGGAAAGACAAATGAAGGAGGCGCATAAATAACCACAACGCTAGGCAAAGCAATTGCTCAATGCCATATTAGAGGCATGCAGATAAACTGCTCTGTGTGCAATGGAAGGAGTCATTACTAACAATTTTTACATTTTCTCTGGTTTCCCTACTCAAAGAGTGTGTGTGTGTGTGTGTGTGTGTGTGTGTGTGTGTGTGTTTTGGATGGAGTCTTGCTCTGTTGCCCAGCTGGAGTGCAGTAGCGTGATCTTGGCTCACTGCAACCTCTGCCTCCCAGGTTCAAGTAATTCTCTGCCTCAGCCTCCTGAGTAGCTGGGATTACAGGCACCTGCCACCACGGCCGGCTAATTTTTGTGTTTTTAGTAGAGATGGGGTTTCACCATCTTGGCCAGGCTGGTCTCAAACTCCTGACCTAGTGATCCACCTGCCTCAGCCTTCAAAGTGCTGGGATTACAGGCGTGAGCCACCGTGCCTGGCCAAAGTGTGGTCTTTATATCAGCAACACTGGACATTGCTGGGAGCTTGTTAGAATGTGGAATCTCTGCCAATTAGACCTATTAACTTGAATCTGCATTTTAATAAGACCTCCAAATGATTCAAATACACATTGAAATTTGAGAAGCACTGGTCTAGGATCATGTCTTAATGATTTACTTAAATAGGTATATCTGCAGGCATAATATATACATATAGAATAACATTTCTTATGTAAACCTTTAACCCTATCGATAGGTTAATCAGTCATTAAAGCAGAAAAGAAGTGGTAGCAAGAACCACTCAAGATAGACCATTTTATTTGTTCTTAACATCTTTTGTATTTAATATGTGTATTTGAATGAGACAAATGGTGTAGGAATCCACAGTTCTACATTTGAACAAATGCCGAAGCTAAACAGGGTAGACTCAGCTCTAGAAAGTGTCCTGGGATTCTCGCTCTGCAAAGTAGAAGTCTGAGTTGAGCTGCCCCCTTCAAACATTTTGTATACATTTAACTTCTAGAATAAAGTGGAGGTGAAAGGTTGTTAGAAACGGCAGTGGAGTAAAAATGTAATATTTTGGATTTTAAATCCCAAACAAGCAAAAAAAAAGTTTGTGAAAATATCAGAGGTAATTAGAAACAAATGTCAAAGGAGATGTAGTATTGGTGGTAGTGTCATCCTAAATAATGAACGGTGGCACTCTAAAAGGAAAAGATATTTATATGGGAATATGCAGCACAATGGGAATATCCATGCCATAGTAAAGTATGTGCTCATTCTGAGAACTAAAGATGGAGATTTTTAAAGGAAAAATGAGGGGGACTACATAATTGTTTTGAAATGATTATCTTTGGCTACAAAGATCAATAACAAGGGTGACGCTGGTCCGAGATTGGACAGACAGCTGCTGGTCAGATGTCCTTGCAGAAGTATTCTTTGTGTTAGGTTGTAGTGGCCACTGTGCAAGGTTGTGGATCTTAGAGAGTCTTTGTGATAGTTTTTGTTATCAGGCATACACCCCTCTCTTCCTGGCCTTCCCCAGCTGTATTTGTCAGGGATTTTCTAACATTAATGACTCCGTTTTGATTTTGACTACTTTCACAGCAGCAATTCAAAACATATTCGGGAAACACATACCGATATTGGGAACACGTTGAAAGAGATTTAATTGCATTTTGTGGAAAAGTTTTATACAGTAATAATAATATACTAACGTAATAAAATAGCAATAACAATTTTTATTGCTGTTGGGTGATTGCACACCAAATAGATCATAGATAAATGTGCCCTTAGAACAAATGTTTTAAGCAATCATTGACTTATCCTAGCAGCAATGATTGGCACCCATGACAGAGCAACCAGGTGATGCTAAAAATCTCAATTTTAGTTCTGATGAAAGGTCCAAGCCAGGAATTATATGTAGAGTAAGAGAATATACTCAAATGAACACCAATAATAGAAGCGAAGTTCCTTGCTAATCAAATTTTACCTATCTGCAAGTACAACATCTTCCATTTTGTATAGTACTTGTAGTTCCCATTTACATTATTTTAGTCCTTACAGTAGCATTACAGGTAGGTATGAGTCAAAGTAGGAAATGGAAGGAAATTTAAATAATTTGACCTGGTAATCCTGTAAATCATTAAGTAGCAGACTTAAGACCTTTTCCTATGCTTACCAATTGCAAGTACAGTGATAGGATTGTGCTAAATAAATCACTGCTGCTTCTGTCATTCATTCATTCACTTGTATGTTCAACAACAATAAACGGCATGGACAAAATGCACAAAAAATTTTAAGCATAGATAGTGAATAAATCAGTAGTTTATGTGATATAGGCAAAACTCAGAGATGTGTTAAGTACAGATGAGTAAGCAAGTAGCTTGCTAAACATGGCAGAATTCATAAGATATATTAAATAGCATGCTAGTAACCTGCCAGGCATATCAACGATAGAAATATGTAACACACAAGAGTGTTGCTTATACATAGAGATGGAAAGAACAAATTATTCTCATGTCACCTCTAGGTAAACAACTGTCATCCCAAAATATGGTCACCCATTGGTGATACCAGTATCATTGCATTCTGACTCCACATGTGCTGTACCTACGAAAGGCTGATGAAACACATGACTGTTGAGCTGGCTAGTTGGAAAGCCCTGCTGAGGTCAGGTATACTATACCTTGTATCCTTGTTATGGAGCAAGTGTGTGCCACTGGCACAGGAGATTATTTTGGTCTGCAGGCCTGCAAACCTCAACTCTGGTCTTGGTAACTTCATTACACTATGGCAAATGCATGAACATTGTGTAAGTCAGAATTGGGGTAGTGCAATCCTTTTACCATGCTTGCGCGTATTCAAAATGTGTTAATTGCCCCATATGGTTTCCCTCTTCTATCACTTGTGTTTTAAATTGATTTAATAAATCTTGTGATTAGAGCATTTGAATTTAGTCAGTGCAGTTTTCTGTCTGAGACTACTGGAATATCTTGCCTGGTGGTGAGCTAAAAGGCTGCTATTGGATCAAGACAAATTCCCAAATGAAACACAATTAAACCAGCTGTGTCATACTCACTCATATGTTCTTTTCAATCTTTTTGACCACTTTAATTTTAAGGAAACCACGCAGACTTAGGGGAAGAGATTGCCTCCTCCCTAAACTAAGATTTATTTATCATGTTTAGTGATTTAGATCAAAGGTGAAGGAAACAAGAAACTCTGTGTGTGAGACTTTCAATTCAATTACATTTTTTGACAACCTGACTGAATAACTAAAAGTCTAAATGTCTTTGTTAGTATTTTTTAAATTCCCTAACACATAACTAAGCTATCAGGAACATCCGAATAAGTGTAAAAGGAGGATTAAAAGAGAACGGGTGTTAGTTAACAACTTAATTAGGAATTATTTTTGCGGGGGAGGGGGTTTTCTAAGGTAGCCAGTGCTGGTGAAATACTAACTGGATGACAAACAAAGAAAAAAATAGGATTTATGCTGCCAGAAGTATGAAGTGTTCTAAATAAATGCTCCTTTCGACACACATTATTCTGTCAACTTCTAGTCTTATTTTAAAGTAGTAAATGTATAAGGAAATTATGAGATCATGGCAAGGAAAATTATCCATTTGTAAAGAGTAGAACTAGACCCACGTAAGGGTTTCGGTTATGTTCTCCTTTTACCCTGTCACTGCTTATACCTGTTAAGTTGTTCCTGGAGCAGATCTAATCTTTGTTCCACTTCCCCGTAGGTGAGGTCACTTTCGGTTTCAGAGATACCCCAGGCAGCTCGCTGAAGTGCGGATGGACTGGAGTCTTCAGGCTGGGGATGTGCATTTTCTCGTTCCCAGCTTCGCATGTCAGTGATGTCTGTGGAAAATAGTGAGATGGATGTCAACCCTCTTAGGTGCCCCTTTGCGTCAATAACACACAGATATCCACAAGACAAGCTGGAAAGGGATCGGAGTATAATCTGAGAGGCAGAGAACCAAAAGTATTCAGTGATGTGTCCAGGGGCCACGGCCAATTGGTAGCAGGGTCCCACTTCCACCCTGCTGGCGCTACCTCCCATATCCTTTTCCATGTGAACAAAAACATGTAGCAGGTGCTGAGTATTGATTAGGATTTTGTTTTTTTTCTGTTTGTGCTAGGAGAAGATAAGCACAGCAGAACCAAAACTGATTAGAGAGCAATGAGTCTGTTTTGTTTGCACCAAATTATCTAGGGTTTAAGATTTTTAGGGCTCTTTCCCACAGGATAACTTGCATATGTTATGACTTAGAGTGGGCCCAAGAAGAGAGCCTTAGAGAAGTGCTGGCCTTCAGGGTGATTCCCTTTGGCCAACCCAATTCAAATAGAGCCAAGAAGCCATAAGCCATGAAAACTGGGAAGAATCTTACACATCCCCTCGTCGCCAGCTACTGTTTCATGTTTTTATGTTTTCTTGTAGCCGCTTCTGTGCTGCCCTTTACCATAATTGTATTGCTTTCTAGTATGTTTTCCTGTGGCTCTTTATTTTAAATATTGCTATGTTACTCTACTTTAAGATAAACTATTTGTTCAAGTCTACTATTTAAAATGTTCTAAGTATCTATTATGGGCCAGATAACTTGGCAAATATGGAGGAACTAAAGACAAAGGAGACCATAGATCCTGAACTTGAAGAATTCAGTCTAGCAGGGTTGTGATCACTTTTCATACACAGATCCATTTTTCTGAACTTCTTTTAATTTCCTGTTTCTCCTACAATCTATATTTTAAGCTGTCAATATTTGGGGGCAAATATGTCCTTTTCCTCTTATTTTTGTCTATATTTTAGATGTTTTGCTGCTCTTTTAACCTCTAAGAATGATTAACAGTTTGGAAAATAAAACTTATGAAAAAGTAGACTGGAGCTGGGAATTGACTTTGGAGATGAAGGAGAAACATTTTCTTCACTGGGAGGGCTAGTAGGAAGGAAGGACTATCTAAAGCTGGTATTCATTTTCGCATAGAAAGAGACTTGAATTACAGAAAGTGATTTTGGTTTGATAGAAAGACTTAAAAAAAACTTGACAAGTATCTATGATTAAACACTGAGAAAAGTTATTATGTAAAGTTATGGAATTCTTGGCTATTTAAAAAAATTGGATAGAAAGTAACTGAATTGGGCAGGATTAGCTATGATTTTAGAAATAGGAAACAAAACCATTGGACTTCTCAAAGCTTCTTCCTTTCTTGCAGTTTCTCTAAGGGTAGTTTAAATGTATCCCCTTTCTCCAAGTAGAAGACAGACATGTCTGTATTCTTTCTTCATGGTTTTCCTCTCACTCATTATCTTTTATCATTGAATATACAGAAATTTCTCAAATGAGATGCCTATAATTTCTGCCTCAACAGGGTGAGGCTTGACAAAGGAATTAGCATATCCAAAGTCAACATTAGAAAAATATAGGATCAGAGTTCCTTCTTCTGCAGAAATGGCTAACAGACCTCAGAGGGCTTGCTATGAATTCCAGAAAGACTCTTCCTGACTACGGCTTTGTTACTATAGGGATCCTGGGTTCGTTGTTATTTAAAGTGGCAGTTTATCATTTCTTTTGATATTTTATGAAACATGGCAAAATATAAGTGAAACAAAAAAGATACTGCTGGGGTTTTAAGTCACTTATTGCAGATCTTCACTGAGAACTATGATTTGTTATTCACAGACATTTGAACCTATTTAAAATGCAAAACAATAATATCTTAGCAAACTGGATTTTGAAGATTGGGCCAGTAATGCTAAGCAAACTTCCAGAATACCTATATAAATGGTCTGGTGATGCTGATGCTTGTCTCCGTCTAGTCTGCTGCTAGCCAGTTAATGTAGGAATCTTCCTTTCGAGAAGGCAAGAACTGATAAGACTGAAGTTACATGTTATGCTCACGAACGTTTTGAGCCAAGAAAGCTTACAGAATTTCTGCCTATGTTTAACAGCTCTCTTCTTTCCAAATCATATATAATAAATTGGTTTTTAAATGACAATGGTGAATCACATGCAATAAATTATGGAGGATTATATTTTTAATTCAGGGCTCAAGAAAAAATAATTACCTTATCAGAAATGAATGAAATGTATATCTTAGAGGCTTTCTTGATTATAATTTACTCTTTAATTAAAATCCGAAGATACGTAATTAGCTTGTTTTAACAGCAGTATAAAAAATGAGGAGTTCAAAGGGGAAATTCTGGTTAGTGGTCGTAATCAAATGAACATCCTTGTAGACACTTTCTAAATATAGCTTGGAAAGAATCTGCACTTGGTTGCCTTGGAAAATGTTGCTATAGTTGCAAGACACATTTCTGGAAATGGATGAACAGAAAGTAAACTTTCACTTTGCTCTGAGTAGACAACTTTTGGCCTCAATCTTAGTAGGAACAGAGTCCATTTAATTTGTTCTCTTTTCATTTTAGTTTTGCTTAAATGTGCTCCTCTGTTGGATACAGCATCACAAATGTTAGGAATATGAGTGAGTGAAATTTCCTATTGATGGTGGAACTAAAATTTGCGGAGGTTTAGTAGTTTGAACTGCAGCAGCGACAAGTCACATGTTACGTATTAATGCAGTATGTCATCTTAAAAATCATTAGGGAATGAAATTTGCAGTGAATGAAGTTTTAGAATTCCCCATTGATTAAAGATATTAATTAGCCAGGCTAACCATGTGTCACACTGATTGAAACTATATGACATCAATTCAATTGACATGCATATTTAGCTATACATTTTCAAGATAACTATTTGAATAGGGATTGCCCTGTAAATTTTTAACAATTAGAATATGTAGATATTAAATTTGTTAGAATATTGTTTTTTGTGTATATGTCCAATTAAAGATAATTGGAAGGCGTAGCAAAGAAAAGTATATGAGGAAGGGCATGAAAATTCATTGTCACTGAGAGTCATTATAAAGTCAGAAAATCCCCAAATTATATGTTTAATAATGTGCCACTTGAGACTCTAAAACTCAAGAGGAAAACAACAAGCATTTTTATTAGGTTTACATTATGTTGATCTTTGGAGATGGTAGAGATGGTTCAGCAAGCTCTTCAGAACTCGTGACTTCCATGATACAACTTGTATCTATTTTTAGCACTTCCCAGAATCCATTTTCATAAATAACTAAAATGGGACATTTGGTAATCACATTTAATATTCCATTCTTCCATTGTGATAAATGAGGTACTATTTTCACTCACTTCATCAAGATTTTAGATTGTTCAGAGAACACTTGCATATATTCTTAGCTTACTTCAATGTGGGGTCATGAAAAAAGTGGATGTTACATGATAGGGATAGCAACTCTGGAAAAATATAAAGCCTAAGCATCCTAGATTTAATAAAAGCTTTGTGGCTGAATATGGTACTTTGGAATAATGATGATAAGTAATATTTACTTACTCTGTACTAATGTACTAATTTTGCTATCCTACCAGGCCTAGAACATCCTATTTTTCCTTTTTTTAATATTCTTTTGATGCTTTGTTATGCCTTCCTAAACTTTATATTTTTATACATCCAAGGATATACAAATTATTAAAACTTAAAAAATAAAACCTGTGAGAAAATACTAACAGTTGAAGATTTTATTTCAGAAAAAGTAATTTACATGTTATCTTAATAACTATAACCTCGTTGGTTAGATAATATTATTCCTCTTTTAAAGATGCATAAGCTGAGTCTTGGTGGGTTTGGTCAAATCATTTACCCAAAGATATAAAGGGAGCAAGTGGCAGAGCTGCACTTGGAACCCAAGCAGTCATTACTGGTAAGACTTACTAGCTAGATCTAAAGATCTCGCCTCTGATATGCTAAAATAGTTGTTCTTCCATGTAAGAGTTCTTTAAATTTTACTGAATTTCTCATTTTTTAGCATGAAATCTGTATCTACTAATCAAGCATTATTACCCAAATCGTGCACATTTTCTACAACAAAATCTGTACATTTGGGTATTCCTTTTGGAAATAAAAATAAAAATAAAATAAAGATCAGAGTTTATTTCAGGGCATTTCTCCACTCTTTCTCATATTCTCTGTAAAATTAAATTTTGGTTGGCATGTATTACAGTGTGATTGCATTGGCCTTTCATACTATAATATTATAGGGTTGGGGTGAGAATTGGGTACAGAAGATACATATAAAGAACCAATTGATTAGCTGTCTTAAAATATTCATTGATCCTCTCTCCCCATTGAAGTTACTACAACAGACTTTCCCATAGTTTTCTACTTAACATTATATTAAGTCTGGTTGGTCACAAAAACCTCTCACGCTATAAGTGTTTGGGAATAATTACCGCTTGTTTTAGAATAGCGCAAACACTTCATAGATAATCTGAAATCTGAATGCTTTGTGAACATTTCATGAAGTTGAAAACGATTCGATTAACATGTGTCAGTACAGTTCTTAATTTGTAAAAAGTCATCATTTTGTGATTAGCACTGAAGAGAGACCACCTGATGTCTAACTCTGAATTACCTTTGCAAGAGTGACTTCTTTTATCTATGTGCATTCTTCCTGAGGTGGGCACTGTTTCTTCAAAATCGAGCCCAGATGCTTTCCCTATTCCTGGTGAAGAATCTACTATTCCTGAGAAGAGCGGCTTTTGTTCATCATCAATGGAGGAGATGAAAGATGACGATCTGCTTTTTTTCTCTTCAAAGTGTCTCCTGGAACTCTGATAATGTCTTATGGTATCTGCAGAGTCTTCAGGATCATTTGTACTGTTTTCTTCGCCAAAATATATCAAAGAAAAGTTATTTTATAGCAGATAATTAAATGTGAGACTGTATGCATATTACACTACCTAGCTATATATAAACTAGCTTTTTCCTATTGAAAATGTAGCTACTTGGATACTTAATGTTTTAAATTCAAGGGTTATTAGATTATCTTAGTGAAATAAAGTATTCATTTCAAAATTAAAAGAATATTTACAATAGTAATAATGTTTATGTCTCAGAGGAAAACTGTATGATAACTTACACAGTTTTTTATATGTTCAACAGTTATTTGTATTCTGAGAATCTGGTACACTCTTTCTTTAGGGAAATGAAAAAGACAAGGGAAAATGTGTCCCAATTTTAAAATATCACCACTATGCAACTTATTATTTGTTTATTTTTAACCTGCATGCCTTATTATCTGTTTTAGCTGCTCATGCATTGCAAAGGTCAAAATTGGAAGCCTCCTTTTAGTAAAAGACTGGCAGGCTGAATTTCAACCTTAGTCTGATTCATGTAATGGCCTTGGCATTCCAGGCAGTTTGGTTGTGTAGCATAATGCAAAGAATATAAAGCTTAAATACAGTAATTAAGGTAGGGTTTACCTAATTACATTAAAGCTGGTAGTGCATATTGGCTGTTTTATACTGAAATGTCAGGATAATTTCAGTCCTGAAGGTTGTGTTAGAACATATTTCAGCAGGAAAAACTCAAAGAGACAAATCCCAGAACTTGTTTCTATTAGTGTCCTGGGGAGACAGTATAATTCTCCATCTGGTTTCTGCTAATAACTAACCAACAAAACTCCAGAAGGTATATCGTTTTCTGGAGAAATGGTGAAGACAGTGTCCCCATCCGCTGTACGCCTCAGTGTGCTTACTTGGTTATTTATAGAAGGCCAAATGAACCGATGGAAGGCCACGCCAGAGAAACTTCCAACTGTTTTTAAAAATTCCCATATGGCAGAGAAATTCAACAAAGATTTTTTCCCTTTATTTTTTTAAATCATAATTTAAAATATGAAAAGTCAGAAAGCAGCCCAAGGTAAAAGCAGATAGAGTTTAAAAATCAGTTTTATGTGAAATTGTTATTGAGGAGTTCATGTTCTGTCAATTAAAATTAAGTCTAGCAAAAGCAGATTGCTTATTTTCTTTAAGATTTCATGCTTGCTCAGTGTCTTCATCATTACTGAGAAAGCCACAGACCTTTCCGATCTCCAACACTACAGACATCATTGATTACTTACTGTTACTTGTATATCCCCACTCAATCACTAATCTAATTGGTTGTAAATATTCAGATCAAATCTTCTTACAAAAAGCTTTTTCTCTTCAGTGTCATTGGCACAGACCTCCTTAAACCTCTAAAATTCCATCTTGCCATCTTCTTCCCAACTTTCTTTGTTTTTAACTTCTCCTCTTCTCTAAAGCCCTCTGAAAATTTGATCAACATTCTCTACTTTTTGAACATATCATTTTATTCCTCAAAAAATAACAGTTATAAAGTTTAGGCTAGTAAATGTGAAAAAAAGGAACATTTCATTTTTCTAAATTATCCTCATACCTGCTTAGTGAATTGCACCAGTTTGCTCTTCCTGAGTAAACCTTTTTGTAGTCCCTGACTTGGGAACCAGAGATATTTGAATGAGTTCAGGCCTCCTATTGTTCTCAAAAATGATTTTAATTTCTATACTTTTGTGGAGTGTTTTCCCATCTGCATCAAATGCAAGCTGAATTAACTATTAATTCATCTGCCTCCATTCAAAGTCTGGATAATGCTAACATGGATATTTGTAATGAATGTACATCACAAATTAATAAACCATCTTGTATCTTTGGCTGGAGAGGTCTTGGGGAATCCTTACACATGGTAGAATGTTCTGTTCTACCTACCATGCTGGGCTTCAGTCTTAGTTTACTAACTTATGACTTCATTTTGGATGCTCGTGAACAAGATTCACCAGTTAACATACATTGTTAGTTGAATTATAACTCGCTGATTTCACCTTGGACATGTGTTTACAAAATGTGGTCAGTGAGGAATTACTATCATTTAGTCGTATAGTAGAATGGAGAAAATTACTTCGTATACATAGGACAGAATTCTTTAGCAAAAATTTCTGGTAAAAGCAGAATCAGGTAAAAGAAGAAGACAAAAATTTGATATCCTTGAATTTTCCCCATTGGTAAGGAGAAAAAAAAAAACCCACCTTTATTTCTGTATTCGTTGCTGCTGAACTATCACCCAAACCATATGAACAATTTCTTTGATACAACCCCACTGAAACAACATTTTTTCACTCCATACTAGATAAATTAAAGCTTCATTTTCTGTCACATAAAATGAAAGTTGAAATGACAATCTATTTGTAGGTTAAAAATGGAAACTGTTCAGGCTTTGGCTGGAAAATTGGCTGATGTAATACGTACATGAAATTGGGCAGCTGAAATGCATTATAATTAGCCTCCAGGTACTTCTAAATTTTGATGGGCTGTACTATTTTTGCCTTTTTCCAGTTAAACTGAATTATTTGATAGACGTTAAATAGTATCAGGTACTATTTTTTTCTTAATTCTATTTATATTCTACGTAGAAATAATATTCTAAGGAAGGGCAGTTATCTGATTGCATAATCTTTCCTGTTACCATCATTTTATACAAAGAAAAAGCCATGTCTGTTTAATTAAACCACAAATTTGCCTCTGATTCAGAAGACGCAAAACCTTTTTTTTCTCCCTTGCTTCTCTAGGCGAACAGTTCATCTCCTCCTCTTTTTTCACAGAACACAATTCTAAAGCATTTGTGACTCGTCTTACGAGTGTCTCTCTGAGTTTAGAATGAATTCAAGAGCATAGAATAAGTGTCCTAATGGAATGGCTGACCCATTTATCTTAAGAATGATAATATAAAATCGTTCCTTTCAAAAAACCTGGAATAAACATTCTTGCTCACTCTGTCTTTTATGGAGTCTTCCTCTCAGTTTACCATTTTTATTTGTCAGACCCCACAGGGAGACCTAAGCTTTGGTCAAAGACAAGCATTTAAGGCACTCTCTCAGCATTTGCGTTTTAGATTTCCCACAGGTGACAATTTAGAAATAAGTTGAGCAATTCCAAGCCAAATGCCATGAAAAAAGCATTACATTGGAAAATTGGAGTCTAAAATAACTATTTTTTCATTTAAGATCACACACTTTAGCCTTCCTATAGCTCTAAAGGATATTGAAAGGGGTCTAGATGAATATGTTTTATACAAATACAAAAATTAACAATTTTATAAATTAAAATAAAGAAAAGATGGATATTGGTTTAAAGGTAAAAAGTTTCAGACATGCAAAATGAATAAACTCTGGAGCATTATTCTACAGTATGATAACTATAGTAAATGTATTATATACTTGAAAGTTGTTAAGAGATTAGATCTTAAATGTTCTCTCCCCCCCCCACAACACACACAGTTAACTATGTGAGTGATGAGTGTGTTAAATTAGCTTAAATATGGTAATCATTTCATAATGTATACAAATATGAAAAAAATCACTTTATATACCATAAATAGGTACAACTTTTACATGTTAATTATACCTCAATAAAACTTGAAAAGATCAAAAGATACTTTTATAGATCACTAAAATGGATTTCAAAAGCTAATCATTGTTATTGAAGAAGATATTTCAAAGACATACCAAAGTATAATACCAATATATTTAAATAATCTAATAAAACCAGAATAGAATTATCACTCTTCTATAGAAATAAGTTCATCACTGAATACATTAATCCCTTCAATAATTTTCATAGGATTATTTTATTTTGGAGAAACACTTTTAAAACTTATTGGCTTTTGGATGGCAATGGAAAATCACTAAACCAGTATTACAAAGTGATAGTGTTTATTGCTATCCTTTGAAATACAAAATGTAATGAGTTCAAGACACTTCCACTCTATTTTCTGGAACATTGGATTTTTCCTGCTGAGCATATATTGAAGAGATCATTTTAATAAAATTATATGGATAGGGAAATGAGTAAAGTTTTCTTCCCTACTCTTAGTATGTGTGTATCTCTTGAAAAGCATTCTTGTTTGTCATCATGCATGCAGAACCATTTATGTCCAATCTTTCACCTTGATTTCCATCTCTTCGGTTGTTACAGGCACATCTTTAACACTCTTTGAATGTTTTACTCTTGTGGCTTTTTTTGTTTTGTTTTGTTTGTCTTTTTTGTTTTGTTTTGTTTTTCATGTTTGGCAGTTTGTTCTTTACAATGGAGCATATTGTGATAATCTATTAGCAAAAGGAAGAGGATCTTTGGAGCGCTGATAATTGTTTCTTAGCTTTTGGAAATCAAGAGAGTAAGAATATTTCCAGGTTAGGAAGGACAAGCTCAGCATTCTGTAACTTCACAGGTCAATGTCCCTTTTGCTAAGAAAAATTATTTTCTTTCTGACGCAATGATTTTTTTCAAGTCCTATATAATTGAGACTACTTGCTAACTTTATTCTTGAACATTATCTTTATACTTTTGGAAAAGGAAGTAGGAAAAGGTATAGAGAAGGGATATTTGGAAGAGTGGGTTCAGATACTTCTGCAGAGTTCTGATGAGGAACGGGAAGCAAAGGAATAAATGCCAAATCTGTTGTTCTGGGAGAGGTGACCTCAGGTGACATCAATGCTTTAGTTAAAATATATACCAACAGGATTTTTCTTAAAATGTATAACATCAGCAAGAACTAATTTTCACAATGTTTGAGGCGTCTCCACACAATAAAACCAATAGAGTAAAAAGTTTCCTATTCCAGGTCCTCTTTTTTTCTACTCACTACTTGGTACAAAATAGTAAAAATAATTTCTTCAGAATTCTTTAGAAACACTTATTTTTTTCTGCTAAATTAACAAGAAAATATAATGAAGATTGAAGAGGGTAAGTATGCAGACGCTAACTACAATTCAGAAGGAATATCTATTTGTCTTCTTGTTAGCCAATGAAGAATTTTGTCTAAAATGTTAAGACAAACTTTTGAGACTAAAGTAGAAATAAACATGAAAAAACTCAGGGTGCTTAGCACACAGTGGGTACTCAACGACAATGGACTCCAAATGAATGGGTGATTGTTTGCACCTAGTTACACTGCTGCCCTCATTGGATTATTCTCTGCCAAAAGGTCACCTCCTAATTAAAAATTAGTAGCCACTTTGATACTGTATTTTCTGTCAACAGAAAGCATTGAGCAGAACACTGCAAATATTTGGTCTTATAAGCTCTGTAAGTAAACATACATAAATGTATGTGTGTAGTGTATAATGGCACATTATATATATATACACACATACACACATATTTATATATTTTATAATATATAAATTATGTATACACATATGTATATTTATATATCCTGTGCCATTATATATGCTATTTTTACAAATATACTCTGTATTTTATACAACGTACACAACACAAAATTTTAGAAGAATTATTACTTCTATGACCTAATGGATCTGGCTCACACTGGAGTAGGCACAGTTCGACTTTTAAGACCACGTAAATAGAGATGATTTTTCAGCATTTTTTTCATTTACTTCTCCTCTGCCCAGCCACCTTAACAATGCTCATGGCCACTGAGCAGGTCATTGAAGCATCATTTTTATTCTTCACTTTCTGTAATAATATTTTACTTCCATCTCAGGAGCTGTAGCACTTCTTCCTACAATGAACATTGTCATATTGGGGAGGTCCTGGGCACCTCCATGCCAGAATTTTAGGAAGAAAAGATAACTACTTGAAGATACCTTTAAAAATACAGGGTGCTCTCAAATTTCTACCTGCACTTATAAGTCTCTCCTGTAGGGAAGTGGGATTTTTTCCTTAGAAAAAAAATGTACAGCTCATGAGAACAAGCCACCCTCATCGACAAATTCATTATGTATTCAATATAAGTATATATTTTGTTTTTCAGCTTTCCAGAGGTTCTACATATTTCATTAAAAAATTATGTCTTATTCAATGTGAGCTCTTTAGAACCTTGTGAGAGGCAAGACTGGAAGTGAAGTGGCAGGTGGCAGGCAGCAGGTGTGGATTAAAGCCAGTCAAGTTGCATTGTTCCACTCAGTGGGTAGGGAGTGGCAATGCAGGACTCAACCTCTGTCTGCTGCTAGTGCCCAGAAACAGTCTTCTCTCTGATTCTTGATGCCACTGCTGATTTACAGGCAACAGCACTCTTGAATGTCTGCCTTCAAGGTTTCCTTTCATACGAGTAATAAATTAACACTACAAAAATGAATGCATTTCCAGGGAAAATTTTAGTTTCTGTATCCACAAATGGTTCAGCATCAATGATCCCCTGTACTCTGTTCTTTATATTATGTGTATTTTTCTCCTATATGTTGATGTTACATCAATAACTCTATGATGAATGCTCACCTTAAGAGAATTAGATTTGGATGACAGGGACTAAATTGCTTTCAGCAAATTTTATAATTGCCCGCAGCACCCTGGATTCCTAAAGACTTTGGAATAGGCTCTTGGGCTCTGGTTAACTGTGTTTTCACATTGACCAACTCATGGTTACTTACTGGCACAACCAGGAAACATCAAAGAGCTGTAGGCAGAAAATCCCTTAGCACTTACACTTTATATAAAATTGGTCTCATAGACTAAGCCTGTGATTAAAGGGACAGTATTCAAAATCAACAGAAATGTCTAGTTACATGAGAACAGTACAAATTGTGACATTGCTCTCAGGGCCTTATCGGGAGATAAAAACATTAGATAATTTAGCTTAAGAATGAGGAAACTGAGCGAGATTGAAAGGAGATTTAATAAATCTTCGACTATGTGGAGGACATTATTATATTGACCACATTGTTAACCTGTTTTTCATTTCCAGTGAGATAAATATAAGAGCTGAACTTCAGGATAAGGGATTTAGATGAACTCCGTGGAAGAACTGCTTAATAGTAGTGGTTCTGATTTTAGAAAAAGTCACCAAGAAAATAATTAAAGATCTTGCAGAACAAAATTATCAACTATCTATGAGTAATCTATTGTTCTACAGTCAGCCAGAAGAATCAATAATTAGTCCAATTCAACAAATATTTATCAACCATTGTTTGCTAAAGTAATCTACAGTTTGGCAAAGGCAAAGGAAAAAAATATACCAGTAGCCATTGTACAGGGCATATTTTGACATTATAAGAAGCAAGCGTTTTGAGAATTCATAGAGAAACAGAAGGTTTACATTTGAGGAGATCAAGAAACAATTCACATTAAATATATCATTGGAGATTGACTTTGTTAAAAATTGAATTTTAGTGGATGAAACTGGTGTGGTATGAATTTGTGTGTGTGTGTGTGTGTGTGTGTTTTGTTGAGGACAAGGAAGCAAATGAATTAAGGGAATGTTATAACCAAAACCACAGAAACAGTGTACATGGTGGAGCGGGCAGTTTGTTTCAACTGAAATGTTGAGCAAGCTAAAGCTAGTAGATGCTCTCCTAGAAAGAGAATTCATTGAGGAGAAAAGAGAGTGAAAAAAAGAACTTGGCATAAGAAGGCAAGAAAAGGGAAAATAATAAAAAGAAAGATGCTCAAATTCTATTTCATTTATTCTTTCCACAGATATTTGTTGAGCATCTGCTGTGCAGCAAGCACTAAAACTACAGGGGACCAAATATTTTCCACTTCCACGGAACTTATGATCTAGAGGCAGACAACATTGATTAAATAATGATGCAAATAAACCCAGAAGTACACCTGGAGTAAAGTTGCTGAAGAGATGAACTGATAGGGGAAGGAGTGGAGTGATGGGAGTAGTTAAGGGAAGGATATTAGGAGATAAGACTGAAGAGGTAAGTTAAGACCCACCCTAATAAGGATTAAGGGCATAGGATGTCCTTAGAGGGCTTTGAATATGTGGGTGACATAAACATAACTGCATTTAGAAAAAAAATTAACAGAAGTCCAGTGTGGAATAGATGAAAGAGGGGTAAGTTGCATGTGGGAAGGCAAGTTGGAAGGCTGTTTCAATATTCCAGGTGGCAGATTATGGTAGCTTGGTCCAGAGCTGTGGCTAAGTAGTTGGAGAGAAGTTAACCAAAAGGAGACCTAATTTGAAGACTAAATGGAGATTTATTGGAGGTAGCAATAATAGGACTTGTTGCCAGAGTTGCTGGAGAGGTTGTGAGAAGGTTGGCTCCAAGATATCTGGCTTGTACAATTGATTGAATAGAGTCACCATCTGTAGAGGCATGGGAATTGAAGAGGAGACAGGTGTCCAGGGTGCACCATGAGTTCAATTTAGGAAATGTTGAGTTAGAGCTGCCTTTGAGATTTCAGGTAGATGATTTTATAGGCGATTAGATATGTGGGACTGAAGCTCAGGTGGTCTGGGATTAACATGTAAATATGCACATCTCGTATGTGAGGATATAATTAAATGGTGGGCATAAATGGGATCACCCTGAGAAACAGTATGATATAGAATGAGAAGAAAAAGGAGCCTAGGACTATGCCTTAAAAGTCTAACAAATTAACACTGGTGTAGAAAATAATAATCTTGAAATTGTCTTCAGTGAGTTCATGAAGGTGGGAGGAAAATAGGAAGATTGAAGTATTACAGACACAAAGAAAAGAGTATGCAAGAAAAAGAAGGGAATTGGTTCATAGTGAAAGATGCACCTATGGGGCCAAATAAGGTAAAGACTAGAATGTTTGTTGGATCAGCATGAGGCAAGAGTGAAAGCTTCTTCAGGAAAACTTTCTCCCATCTGCCAAGAACAGTTAAATGTACACTCATCTGACCTCCCATTGAGGAATACCTATTCCTGTTACAGAGCCTACTATTTGAGGGTGTGTCTATCTCCCTCTCTAGGGAAGATGAGGGATGTTCTGCACAACTTATTTCTCAGAACATTGAGTAACTGCTTGAAAATGTGAAATGGTAAATGAATATTTTTTGACTATATGAGCAAAGCATAAAGAATAGTCAGAGAGGCAGAAAAACCTGGAGAGAACAAGAAGTGACAAGTGCCACAGAGTCTGAGGATAAGAAGGACTCACTAATGTGGCCTTCATCCATGTCATGCATGCTTGTAGGGCATGTAAGAGGATTGAGCTCTTGGCCTGAAATGACAACCCTCCTTCCAGAACACTGTGCTCAGAACGAATTGACTGTCTTTTAAAAATCAGTCCACTCTATTTCTTAATCTGTGATGTCCTTGTGAATATCAGATGGGTTTGTTGAATGATATCATTGAGAGCTATCAATCAGAAACTGGAAACCAGATCATTAGCTACTTAATAAAGCAAAGGATCTGCCCTTCTAAAGCCTGAGTAAAATTTATTCTTGAAATCAGAAGTATAATGAACATTTAAGTAAGAAGGCTAATTACCACATGCTCTACATTTAAACTTTAGGAATGGAATGAATTACCTTTCTCTCCTTCACTTTCAAATGACAATTTTCTTCTTCGTAGTTTACAGTTGTCTCCTTCCGAATCATTCATGGATTGTGATCGTAGGAGATCAGCCTTTGTTAATGAAACATGAAGATAAAATGAAAGATTACTCAATTAGAACATAATGTATTATCAGTAAACTATTTACTATTTCATATCGTTTCAACCATCTTGAGACTTAATCATTAGATTGCAGGTAAACAGCTACAATACCCTGCTCAATACTCGTCTCTTAAATATAAAATACACTGATAGAATAATTTTTAGTACTTTCAACATTTGCTGGGGAAATCATAGTGTAGAAGTTATTTATATGTGAAATGTTTAGGGATGATGTCAACATTTAAAGAAAAAATATTTCTTTATGTGGAATGTGTTTTATGCAACTTGGTAAAGTAAAAATAAGAACAATACAGTTGACCCTCAAACAATACAAGCTTCAACTGTGCAGGTTCACTTATACACGAATTTTCTTTTTCCTCTGCTACTCCTGAGACAGCAAGACCAACCATTCCTCTTCCTCCTCCTCCATAGCCTATTAAATATGAAGATGATGAGATGATGATCTTTATGATAATCTACTTCCACTTAATTAATGGTAAATATATTTCCTCATCCTTATGATTTTCTTAATATTTTATTTTCCATAGCTTACTTTATTATAAGAATACATTTTATAAAAATATTTAAAATATGTGTTAATTGATTGATTACATTATTGGCAAGACTTCTAATAAATAGTAGGCTATCAGTAATTAAGTTTTTGTGGAGTCAAAAGTTATATGCAGATTTTCAACTATATGAGGGTTGGTGTTCTGAATTCCCATGTTGTTCAAAAGTCAATTGTAGTAATTTAAAGAACTTTGCATAAATTATAGTATGGCAAAGAAAAATGTATAAACTAGTTAAGATTAGCTATGATGTTTAAATGATATGGTAATTATCATAAGGTTAAATTTCACAACAATAAATATAGGTTAAATTCCATAAACATTACACTTTGAACCCTTTATTATTTTGCTCCCAGATCCTCCTTCTTCCCTCTCTAGTTTACTCTGTCTAATATTGTCTGTCTTGTAAATAAAAATGGAAGCTCCTGTTTATTTGAGTGCTGACTAAACTTTTATACAATGAAGTTATGAGAGGTAGATACTTGCTACTTTTCAAGGCAAAGTCAGAATGAGGTTGGTGACATAAAACTGAGATTGTGACAAATTACTGAATTAAAACCATTACAGAAACGTATGTTCTTAATAACTAGAATCTTTTCCACCTCAATTAAAAAAGATCTTTTCGGTGTTTTAAAAAGAAATAACTATCTGAACTGGTGCATCAGGATATTAAATGGCATCTAGGGGCCCTTAAAATTCCTCTTTCTCTTTTAAGCCTCTCATGGTACTTGGGAATATCTATGACTACAGGAAGTATTAAGTCTACCCCCTCTTACCTAAGTATTGACTTTAGGGTTTGTTTTTTTTTTCCCCAGAGAATATATTAGTTAGCATTTAAATACACTGGCAAGTATCAATCACTCAATATTTGATTTCTGATTTAAAAAAGCATTCAGAATTGGAGTGGAGTTGTGAAATTTTGGGGGGAAAGGGATAGAAGAGGAATAACCTAGTAATAAATTTTGGGTTACAACGTAAGTTTTATAGCCATAGAACAGTAATAGCTCATAAGGGCACATTTTCATAGTAGAAAAGAGTACGGAACCTAAGAGCTACACTCGAAGTTCATTCTAGGTTAACTTGCATATACAATTATTTAACTATTATTTCTGTTAAACTACATATTCATTCTACACCATTAAAACCGACAATACTGTAAAACCTGACTAATTTGTACTTCTGTGATTTGGAAATTTTATTAAATAGGAAACTAAACTTGAATGAGGTTAATTTTTTCATTACTATTGTGAAGACACTGATTACCAATGTATAGTATGAATAATAGCTGAGAGACTATTCTAACCTCTGTATAAGATAAACTCAAGCAATTTTCAACAGCCTAAAATCACCCATTTCTAGCAAATAATTGGCACAGTATAAACAAAGGCTATTTTAACTCAAGTGTATCACCTAAGGGCTTCTACAAGGTCAAACCTAGTTGAACTACTTGAAATTATTCAACATATTTGAAAGCAATTAAGCTAAATTTCTTTTCTATAATTCAGAAATTTTAATATTCAGCTGGCCTTTCCTTCCAAATATTCAGAATTTGTAAAGTTTTGCTGCAATATTTTGCTTGATTTTTCAGAAGCATTTGTGCAATTCCAGAATAAACTAACATGTCAGAAATGTAAACATAAACAAACAGTTAACATATACCTTTGCACTCTCATGCCTTAGGTTGAAAGTCAACTCTAGGTTTGTTAGAAAGTGATCGGAAAACTCAGGATACATATCCAAAACCTCTAACAAGTCTTCTCGCTGAATCTTATGCAAGTCACAGTATGTGAGTGCTCTTACATCTGCATTAGACTTTCCAGGTTTAGCATAAAGATGAACCATTTCTCCAAATATATCATTTTTTCCTAAGAAAATAAAAAGAAAAAGAGGCTGGGAAAGGGAATCCAAACTAATGTTTTCCTTCTAAAAGTAGAAGGGGGTCACTAAACAATTGATCAATCCCTGAAAACCAGACTTGGGGAGCAACGTTCCAGCACCTCAACTAAATGCACATCCTATGTTTGGTGAGTGGAAATTTATCTCTAAGGGTGATTGGTTCTTTTATTTCCTTGTTTTGGTTATTTGGCTAACCATCTAGAATGTAGCAAACATATCTTCAGTCCAGTATGCCCCACTTTGCTAGCAAAGGGTCTTGCCATATAGTATTTTAAAGATACTTTCAGGTAGGTGTACTCTGATTTTTTCAATCTGGGGATATGAGAAAGGCTGCAGTGAGTCAGATTCATGACCTTTCTGTCTCGGGATGGTCTCTGCAGGTGATGCTGAGCAAGGGGTTATGATGGAGCTGTTTCAACACTTAGTGGATTGGTGGAACAATCGGAATGCACCTTGTTTCCTAAAAACCACATTTGAATTTGCACTTATTAAATACGCCCAACTGCTTAATAAATCTAGTTATATTTTCTCAACATATATAGTCCTGCTTTTTGTTATATGGCCTTTGTTAGGGAAATTTGTCCTTGCTCTTCTGTAAAATCTAGGGTTATTTCAGTGTCTAGCTTCTAACGGGCCTTCCCCATCACCACTGCCTAGCCACATACTACCTGCTTTTCAAGGTCTTATTCCATGACAAGATAAGAACAACAGCAACAGTAACAAATATTTATTGAGGACCAGTAGGTGCCAGGCACTGTGTCAAATGCTTAGGTGCATTGCCTCAATTTATTCCTAAAATAACTTCATGAAGGAATTGCTAATAATTATCCACATTTTATGAATACAGAAAGAGCATTAAAGTGATAAACTGATTAGCCTAATGTCAACTTCTTAGTTGAATGAAGTGGAGAGAGGGAGAGAACAGCCAGAAGTAAATCCCACGCATCGTGACTCCAGAGTCAAAGTTATTGCACACCTGATACTGTGCATCTAATCTCCTTCCAATGACTTCCCTGAATGTCATGGCCACTTAGATTTTTCTGTTTCTGACTATCAAAGTACTTAAAAATTGTACTTGTGGTATATATACTTAATACATACTGATATATTACTTGATTATATAACTTCTAAAGATAATCAATGGCAATGTAAAATAGTACTCTCTTGTATCTATCCTGAAGCTTCTTTTCATTTTTAGAAAAAACTCCTTGAGTATATTATTTTAGATTTTGGTATACAACTTCATGTATACCTTACTGTGGAAGCTCTCAAAGACTTTTAAGTAATAAGGTTCTAATTAGTCAAAAAATGCTGTAATATTCTTGTTTCACAAAAGAATTCAACAATGAGAAATCAAACACTGTATCTTAACTATGTAAGAAAAATTGACATTAGAAAGGATACACTAACCACAGTTAAAATAAATTTGTATCAGCCTTCCAAAAATAGGATAAACGATCATAATTTATAAGGATTTTAGGGGCTTACATGGAAATAGGGACAGAAAAGGAGTAATTTCCTGACATTCTTTATAGTTTTGGTAGCTCAATATAGATATTATTGTTTTTAAAAAAGACCTGAACTAAATTAAGCCTGGACTTTGTATTTCAATTACCAACATGACTATAAATGAGCCAGGATCTAGCCAGTCCATGGATATGTCTTAGCAATACTCTAAAATTACTACTTGATAAAGCAAGAAAGCTTTTTACCTTCTTGTAGAAGCTAGGACTAGCTGATTTGAAGATCGGAAATGCAACAAAGCATCCTCCTTCTCTGGCAACAGAGAAGGACAAACTGACCAGGACAAACTGTCTAGGCCAAATCTAGTGAAAACCTAACTTGATTGTGTGGCCTTAAAATGATTTAGAATATGTGTTTATTCTTTGTCAGCTTATTGGTTAGAAAACCAAATTTGGGAAATTAAAAAAAAACTAATATAATAAAATTATCAAAATATATAAGAAAATCACTTGAACATCTTTATTCATGTATTTGAGTTCTGTGCCATGTCGTACTCTGGTTCTACACAGCAGCAGGGAAAACAGACAACATCCCTGTCCTATTGGCGATAACTATCATATGTGAACATCAAAAGCTGAGTGACATAAAATCATTGAATTACATGCCCATTATTTAAGTGGAGCTGGATAATCTACAGGGGAAAAAATGCAAATTTTTACAGAAACTAAGGATAGGCGTTATCATAGGGAGAGTGAGGCTTAAACCTACTGGCTGTATGGTAGGAGAAAAGAAGAATTGACTGCACTTCTGCACTTTTTCTGTTTCTTTTCTCTTCCCCAGTGTCCTAATATTATAAAGAAGTACTACAAGTTCACATGGCCTAAATTTATTTTTTATTTTATTTTATTTTATTATTTTTTTGAGACGGAGTCTCGCTCTGTCGCCCAGGCTGGAGTGCAGTGGCACGATCTTGGCTCACTGAAAGCTCCACCTTCCAGGTTCACACCATTCTCCTGCCTCAGCCTCCCGAATATCTGGGACTACAGGCACCCGCCACCACGCCTGGCTTATTTTTTGTATTTTTAGTAGAGATAGGGTTTCACTGTGTTAGCCAGGATGGTCTCGATCTCCTGACCTCGTGATCCGCCCATCTCGGCCTCCCAAAGTGCTGGGATTACAGGTGTGAGCCACTGCGCCTGGCCCCTAAATGTATTTTTAAAGAGGCAGATTAAACATGTGCTTTCTTTTGCACCCAAATCAGTTGAAGTTATGACTAATTTAATCCTTCATCACTTCTATCCCTGGTTGTTAGGTTCATAGGTCTATATTAATTACCTAGTTAAGGACTGTATGATTCCATTTAATCCGACACGGCAGGTAAAAGTGCACAGTGAATAAATGAAATTCATCAAAACATAAACCCAGTTCATGACAGGGCTTTGGCACATGCTAGCAAGTATTTCCTATAACACATATATTTTATTTTAAGGTGTTGAGGGATCAAGCATGAAGCTAAGATCTTCTAACATAAAAAAAGAATATGCTTACTATTTTCCTATATTTGGCCTCAAATGTCTAGGTAGCTGCCAAGAACTGAAGAGAATCATCGAAGCATTTACACATCGGAGAAAAAGTGAGACAGTTAAGAAAACATATTTTCTGCAAGGTTAATTTGGTTTGAACTGAATTTTAAATACAGTTTTCAAATTACCCACCACTCTTAAACTGTTCTTATAAATACATACATCAGTCTTTTTTTCCTGATCATTTTAAACTATGCATTATAAGCTAATAACTGAATCTGTCACCATGCACTTCTAAAACACTCACCCAGAATAGCCACCACAATGTCATCTTTGAGAATTTCAATGGAGCCTCTGGATAAGAAATAAAGTGCAGTGAGGACGTCCCCACAGTGAACGAGGGTGTCTCCTGGAGGTGCATGGGTGGTCTTGAACTTCATTGCCAAAGCTCTAAGGCAACCTTTACTTGCCCCCCGAAAGGCTTTGCAGTTTTGCAGCAAGGTCTGGTTGAGATGTAGACAAATGTCTGCTTGTAAGCATTCTGGGAAGCCCTTTAGGACCTGAAGAAAAAAAGAAAGAGTTTCATACTACCAGCCTTCTGGGTGTCTCCGCCTGAAATACAGTCAATTTCTTGCTCACAGAACTGCAGGTGTAGTCATTGTCACGCAGGAGTTCCTACAACTCTTCTACCTCGCCTACCTCTTAATGAATACTTGGTTTGCTAAACATGTCAAAATTTTTAACTCAAATACTTGTTCTCTGAATTAACTGCAGGCATTCAGACTCAATACAAATGCTGTCTCATTAAAATATAATGCCTACAACTTTTCACACTGCTTCTCTTTCCCTGCATTATGTTATGTGGCATACTGTGCACAGATATAATGCAATGTGACAATAAGACATAACTAATGAAAGGTGGTACAACTAGAAAGACAATCAACCTTTTGAAAGAATCTCAAGTCAATTTAGGTTGCCATTTCTGGTATACATCTAAGTTATAATTAGTAAAAATGTTGACCCTGAAATAGCCATGGTATTTGTAAATGTCATATACCATAGTGTGCTATTAGTTTACAGTATTTGAAATATTTATGTCTCATATGCACATTATTAATACTAAATATTTTGATAAGCACTGAAAATAGAGAAAAGCAAGGAGGACAGCAAAAACACTTTAAAAGTGTAGTCCAATATTCAGAAATGGAAATTGCACCAGAATTTGCAGTGCATACATAAGCTTCTAAAGTGCTACTGTTTTGACAACCTATTCAGGGGCTAATTTAAAACTTGTTGAACAGATTAAACAATATCTTGTGACAACTGCTACTCAATCTGAACTGAATAAAATTATTTGTTATTTTCATACAATTCTCAATATACAATGGTTCAAAGACATTCAACTCTTGCTTATCTGTGTCTTGCTATTTTGGGTGTCGTACGTAGATTTTAATTTTTATATTAATGTTCTGCTACCAGTACAAGCAGACTCATTTAGATATGCTTTGAGGTGGAGGAATGGGACATTATATAGTGCAATTTATAGTGCAATGATGCAATTTGGGCATTTCCTATCTTTTTGGATCAACCTTGGTATGCCCTCCAATATAGCTAAAAGTAGCCATGAATTGTTTGTAAGGCCAAAGCATTTGGCTCACAGAGGAACTTCAAATTAAATCATACGAGAAAAAACATACAATTATTACTATTGTTAAATATTCAGGTAAGCACAAGGCTCCTACTGTGTACAGGATCACTGTGTAATGCAAGTGGTCAGACTGATATGTTATAAAGAGGATCAGTAAGATACCGGAAGCATAATAGTCATGATTTTCTGCTCTGTTTTCTTCACTGTATGAAATCACTCACAGAAATGAATAGGGAGCATTTTAGATGAAAATTCATAGAACTGAATTCTGGTCATGGATTTGCCCCAGGTTGACTCTTGTACAAGTCACTTCATCAATCTGTGTTTCTGTACCGTAGAATGAGAATCTTTGCAATATTGAATTTAGCCATAATTTCAATAAACTACTCTTAAACAATGTGTCAATTGTTAGACACAGCCCATCCAGCTCAGTGTTGCTATAGGAAATCAGGTTTTCATCCTGAAGAGTCTGTATTTCCTTGCTCAGGTCCCAAAAACATATGCCTCCTTTTGATAAGAGTTTCTGGGCACTCATCTGTAATCTCTCCCCTTAACTGTAGCTGTTGGGCTTGGTCTACATGACTGGACTCCTTCCAGGTTCCCTGCTTGATGGAAGACCTCTCCTACACGATAACTTGCCTAGTCTTTGCCTGTTTCTGCCTCCGGGTGCTGGAGGCCCTTCCTACTCTTTGTTGGAATCTTATATCAACTCAGCTTTTCATATGGAACCAGTTGTCTGGGTCACTGATCCCTTCTACCATTTAAACCACTTCATTGAACTCTTTGGCAAGTGATGTAAAACTGGAGTTGAACTAAATTTGGACACAACATGGTAAAATGCTGGCCACTTTGCTTGAGGGCCAGCATTTTAGAGTGTTGTGGCCAGATTTAGTTCAACTCCAGTTTGGGGGTTGTATAGAATAAAACACCCTAGTTTATACAGGCCTCTGCATATGAATTACTTCTCCTCTCTGAAGGCCACTGCTGTGGTCTCTGAGTAATTCTAAGTAACCCCATGCAGATAAAGATGTATAAAGCATTACACCAAGTAACTAATCAAATATATCCATCTGTCTTTTAAGATTCACCTGTAATAAAGTACATAAAGTCATTTTATATTTCACATGAGGAAGATATTGCTATGATTATAATAGTTAGCATAAGAATACTGAGCCACTGAGACTGTAGCTGCTGTTTCTGGCATTTTCCCTTAAGTATCCTTAAGTAAAACTTAGTATAGAAGAAAAATTGCGTGTGTGTGTGTGTGTCTGTGTGTGTGCATGCACACATGCCTACATGTGTATTCAGGCATGCTTTGAGTCGGAAGAGAGAGAAGTGATAGAGATGAGATTCTCCATTTCCTTGAATGTGTTATTTGAGCTATGGAATCAGACAGGCTTGATCCAAAGTTCTAGCTCCATCATTTACTAGCTTGACTTTGGTCAAATTACTTAACTTCTCTGAGAATCAGTTTCTTTTTTTGGGAAAATTAAATTAATAACATGTATTTCACAGAGTTGTGGCCACAATTTAAATAAGAATGTGTGTAAACCCTTCGACGCACAAAAAATTTTTAATAGACAATGTACTTTGGACTTCCTCTGTGTTTTTGGTCAGAAATTTATTGTTCCTGAAAAAATTAGTGTATTATTTTTAGTTAAGAATAGAAAACCAAAAATCTATTGTGTTTTCTCTTTGGTCTGCCTGATAGGGTATTCTCCACTAAGTTTTGTGTTCTATTGCCTCAGCAGAGTTTAAATGTTTTGTGCATTATTGCATAACCACTTTAAGAATTCTTTTTCCTTGTATCTCACTATAATTCTTGTTTCCTGTTTCTGGCTTGTTATATGTCCTGCAATACTTGAACTTAGGTTGTCACTGTGAGTAGCCCTAAATCCCTTTTGAAATTAGGTAGTCACTAAAATCAATATACAGATATGTTCTTGGAATTCCAATAGTTTTAGAATCATCCACAGAGCTTTAAGTATGATTCAAAAAGTTTTTTCTTATTAAATGTCCCCTGCCCCCAACATTCATTCTATTGGAAGTGACAGCCATTGGAAAGGATAACATCAAGTTGGAGGTGCCATAGAGCTGCTGCTGTTACGTGGAGAAGATACACAGATGTTGGCATGAACTTGCCTAGGTTAAGGACTTCTCATATGATGCTAGCCCTCAACAGATTTTCTTAATATTCTTAAGTTAGTCACATAGATCACTGAAGTAAAACTCAATAAAATTAAGAGTCAGTTGTTGAATGTCTTACTAGTTCTGTAGTTTTAACGTCCCAAATAAGTTAGCAGCTCTAGTATCTGGGTTCTGTCTAAGTAAAGGGACTTTAAAAGGGAGAGTTAAGAGTGGGAGCAATAGTGAAATAGAGGTAGAAGTACATTGAAAAAAGTCTGAAATAAGAGGTAGGTTTGAGAAGATATTTATCCAGGGCACCCCTTTCCATTGGCCTCAGCTGTATTGCCTTCTTGGCTTCCAGTTCATTGCACGTTTTTGTTTATTTTTAGGGTTGGTTCCCTTGCTAAACTCTCCGACATAGGACCTCTTCATTTATGACTCAGACGCTGACATTTTACCAGGCCTAGCAGATCTGGCTACAAAGAGTTGCTATGTCAATTGCACAAGTACAAACCAGGACGCATGCTGATTTGGTGATTGTTATATCTATTTCCATTATACTATACACAGCTTTCTTGACTGTCCAGCCTTGAAGCTTTGAAGGTACATATCACCTTCCACTGTGCATTTGAAGCCATGGTTTTATTGAGGCAATCTAATTTTAAAGACCAAGAAACACCACCCAGAATCAGTTTCATGGCCTGCAGCTTGAAACAGAAGTTATCATTCTTTTAGCAAATATTTATTAAGTATCTGCTAGATATGGTTTGGATATTTGTCCCACACATCTCAGGTTGAAATATTATCCGGAATGTCAGAGGTGAAGTCTGCTGTGAGGTGTCTGGTCATGGGGGTGGATTCCTCATGGTTTGGTGCTGTCTTCACGATAGTGAGTGAGCTCTCATGAAATCTGGTTGTTTAAAAGTGTGCAGCACCTCCTTCCACTCTCTCTCTTGCTCCTGCTCCTGCCATGTAACATGTCTGCCCCCTTTTCAACTTCTGCCATGACCGTAAGTTCCTGAGGCCTCTGTAGGAGCTGAGCAGATGCTAGCACCATGCTTGTACAGCCTGCAGAAACATAAGCCAATTAAACTTTTCTTTATAAATTACCCAGTCTCAGGTATTTCTTTATAGCAATGCAAGAACAGCTGAATACACTGCTATATGCTAGGCACTATGCTAAGCATGGGAGCATAACAATGAATTAAACATGTCTGAAAATATATCTGGACTTCAAGCCTTTCTCTAAATGCCCAAATTAAAACAAAAAATTACAGTGATAATCTGAATTTCCCACACTCTACTTTCACATCAAATTTGGACATTTATACTGTAGATTTACAATACTAATGATTGTTCAAAGAAATTCTCAAGGTAAGAATTAATTTAAGGCAAATAAAAAGTTCTAATTTCATTTTTCAAATACTGGTGATGGGGACAGATTTTAAACATTTCAAGTTCCAGGAAATTTTTTCAAGGCTGCTACAAATCCTTTATCTTTATTATGATATAAGGTCACTGGAATATTTCATAAATGAATTAACTTCCTTTGACTTGAATTTATATGAATACAGCTCTTTGGGACTTTCAAAATCACATCATGACTTACAAATGAGAATTTGATCTTTTAAATGAATATGAAATGCTTTCTGTGATTGTTAAATCAATCCTATAGTTAAGTACTCAAGGACCCCAAATTTAAAGCCATTCAAACACAAATAACCCAACAACAACAAAACAAAATACCGCTATTAAATCAGAGTAAAACTCATAAACGAGATATCA